TGTGGGGCAAAGCCATGGCTTGGGCAGGGTGCAGAGGCAGCACCTTTCCCTTTCCCATTCCCTGTGGGGCCAATCCCACACGTACCTCCTTGCCTTGCTTCCCAGGCCGTCCTGGTGGCCCCTCTGTCCCCTCGTCCCCTGGCTCCCCAGGGCTCCCTCTGATGCCTGGAGCTCCACAGGTTCCTGCCTCTCCCTGGACAGGATGAAGATGACCAGGATGATTCTTGGCTGCCTTTTCCAGCTGAGCCTTTTCCCATACTGGGAAAACCCCAGTTTTCTTATGGGGACACCCCTGCCATGCCCAGCAACATCAATCCCCAGGCACGAGGATGCTGGGGGGGATTCAGGTGCCTGTGTGACCCTGCAAGAGTGGGGTGAGCCCAGCATCACCCCCAGCACCCACCTGCTCACCCTTGGGCCCCAGCTGACCCTCTGCTCCTGCTGGTCCTGGTGGTCCCTGTTGGGGGAAGAAAAGCCCAGCCCTAGCACAGCTCACGGGCCCAGCTTTAACCTTCTGGCTTTTTTGAGGCTCAGCAGCCTGCTCCCATCCTTTCCCACCCTTGGAACAGGGAATTGAGGGGGGGAGGCTGGAGCAGAGTTCCCAGCTGTTGTACCTGCTCCCCATCCAGCCCGCGGACTCCGGCTGCCCCGGGATGTCCCACCTCACCCTGCAGAGGACACAAAGTCAGGACAAGCAGCCGTGCTGGTTCTCTGGCTCTGCAGCTCCCCGAGATGGAAACCCCCATCCCACAGCCATGGGGCCAAACTGGGAGCAGTGCTGGCCCCCACAGCCCTGGGGAGGTCAGTGGGGTGAGCCCAAGGCTCTGGGCAGCTCTCAAGGAAACCAAATCCTCTCCTTTGTCCTCACCTTCTCTCCTCTCATCCCTGCAGGCCCTTCACGTCCCTTTGGACCTTCCCGGCCCTGAGAACAAACACCCCACATCAGCAGAGGGGCTTGGCCCGAGCTCAGGAGCCTGTGCAGGGGGCGAGCAGGGTCTGGGATGTCCTGACACACCACCCAGGGAATCCCTGCTCCAGCTCCTCAAGCCCCCTGCAGCAGCTTCCCTTTCCCTTCCCTTCCTGCAGCTGCTTCAGGGAGCTCCCCACAGGAGCTGCTGCAGCAAAATTCCAAATTCCTGTTGTTATGTGTAGTAGATATAATTCGTGCCATTTCTA